GCTTTGAATTCTCAAATTATATATTTTTCAAGCAGTTGCTCTACCACCCCAGCCAAACAGATACAAAGTTGGCGTAGTAGCTAACCAGCTTTACCAACTTAATAAAGATAATGATAATGAAGTCAATACCAGACACAACTTGGTCCTACCCATTTTCCCGTGTTTGGCGCAGGTTACAAATGTTTGGTACGTGTGTTCTCATTGCTTTGGTATGGGGTTCATGACACTCAACCAAAACCAACAACTATTACCTATCTGCAAAATTTTAAATTTCTATATGATTAAAATCATACTTTTTGATTTTCCATTAAGTTTGGCCTCCTTCCTTTGTTTTCGAAGATGTTCCCTAACCTGCAAGGAGAAAAGTGGAAATGTTAACCTGAGGCTTTCAGTGGCCTTCCCGGAGTCAGTCAACGCAAGATCCTTGACCATACGTTCTACTATGATGTCTACTGAACCATGCTTTCGACCAAAAGACAAGCGAATTTCGAGCAGTAACAGATGTCGAGTAGCAGTATCTCTAAACAATCCAGACTATCGTTACTCGTGTACAATCAAGCTTAAGCTTAACTTTCCAAATAGCTATACCAGGACACTTATTCTACGCTTTTTAGGGGATCTTTAATATTCCAACAATGCAGAAACCTTTCGCTGTATTTTGTATCGCTTGTGAGCTGTCATCCTCTTGCTCTGTTTTTCTGTAAGAAAGACTTAACATTAGCACCATAAAAATACACTAAGCGGAAGTGAGAAAACCAGAACTTACTTGGCCGAACCATGCTAAATGTTTTACTCCCTTACCACGTGAAGGTGTTTCGACAATATGGCGGACAAGTTTCCAGTCTTCCAGCGATAACAACAAGCCCGTGACGTAATGTTAGGGATACTGAAATTTCGGTTAGTACATTATGTAAGACTACATATAATGTCCTGAGAATGTAACTGTAGCTCTAGTATACCCCTGTAAACCCTTTTACACCCCTGTAACCCCTTGTATACCCCTGTAAACGCATGTAAACCTTTGTTTACCCTTCTGTACCCTTGTAAACCCTTGCATACCCCTGAAAACCCCTGTAACCCCTTGTATAACCCGGTAGACCCTTCTATACCCCTGTAAACCCTTGAATACCCCTGTCTACCTTTGTTTACCCTTGCATACCCCTGTAAACCCTTGTACACCCCTGTAAGCCCCTGTATACCCTTGTATACCCCTGCAACCCTTGTACACTCCTGTATACCCCTGTAAACCCTGTAATTGTATACATTTGTATACCCGTGTAAGCCCTTGTATACCCTTGTTATACAAGGGTATACAAGGGTATACAGTGGTTTACAGGGGTATACAAGGGTTTGCAGGGGTATACAGGGTTTCACAGGGGTGTACAGGGGGATACAAGGCTTTACAGGGGTATACAGGGCCTTACAAGGGTCTGCAAGGGATTACAGGGGTGTACCGGGGTTTGTAGAAGTAAACAAGGGCTTACAGGGGTACACAGGAGGTTACAGGGGTATACAAGGGTTTCCAGGGGTATACAATGGTGTACATGGGTATACCGGGGTTTACAGGGGTATACAACGGTTTACAGGGGAATACAAGGGTATACAAGGGTTTACAGGAGTATTCAGGGTTTCCAGGGGTATACAGGGATTTACAGGGGTATACAGGGATTTACAGGGGTATACAAGGATTTACAGGGGAATACACGGGTATACAAGAGTTTACAGGGATGTACAGGGGTTTACTGGGATATACAAGGGTTTACAGGGGAATACACGGGTATACAAGAGTTTACAGGGGTATACAGGGATTTAAAAGGGTATACAAGGGTTTACAGGGGTATACAGGGGTTTATAGAGGTAAACAAGGGCTTACAGGGCTATACAAGGGTTTCCAGGAGTATACAATGGTGTACATGGGTATACAGGGGTTTACAGGGGTATACAGGAATTTACAGGAGTATACAAGGGTTAACAGGGGTATACAAGAGTATACAAGAGTTTACAGGGGTATACAGGGATTTAAAAGGGTATAAAAGGGTTTACAGGGGTATACAAGGGTTTACAGGAGTATACAAGGGTTTACAGGGGTATACAAGGGTTTTCAGGGGTATACCAGGGTTTACATGGGTATACAGGGGGTAACAGGGGTATAGAAGGGGTTACAGGGGTATACAGGGGTTTACAGGGGTATACAAGGGATTACAGGAGTTTACAGGGGTATACAAGAGCTTACAGGGATATACTAGAGCTACAGCCACATTCTCGGGACATTATACATAGTCTTACATAAAGTACTGACCGAAATTTCTCTCCTCTGGCCGGGATTTAGGGAGTTTGAGAAAACGACGGCGACGTCGTCACGTCGAGGATAACGTCGATTAAAAGATGAGTTTATATTTTACCTACGAATCTCGTGGTACTCTAGAGTCATTTAATTTGTTTATCACTGTCAAAACTATCATGAAACTGAATCTAGGATACATCGATTAATTCGAAAGAAAAATTTAAAAAACTAGCCGTCGTGGTTCACGTTCTCCGGACAACGCGGAATTTGGTCATTTCACGTTGTTGAAATGTACTAAGAATTACAACGCACGTGCACAGCCATTGTTCTGCTTATTAAACCTTTTGTTTAGCGACGTTGCCAGTGGCGGATCCAGACCTTGAGTTAAGGGGG